CGCGTGGCGCGTGGCGTCGCGTGGCGCAGTGGACAGAGCGTTCGGCGCTCAACAAAGAGCCCCGGGTTCGATTCCGGGTTTGAACACAGGGGCATGTCCGAACATGCGCACCGACGTTGTGCCCTTGGGAAAGGCCCTTTACATGTATCCCCCCTCAAATAGAGGGACAAGTCTCCAACGGCAGCTGTCTTCAGGCATCCCAACCGGAACCAGCACGTGTCCCGAGATGTGGATCCGCTTGGGAAGACGGATGCCCAAGTGTGTGGGTCTCAGATTCGCAACCTGTTATCAACCTTAAAAAACACACGCGAAGGCCGCCGTGTCAACTGTAACCCTCACTCAGGTGTAGGGACTGACACGGTCATACTACTCGGAAAATCTGTACCTGTATATCTGTACATGAATCTGTATCTGTGCATGAATATGTACCTGTACATGAATCTGTATCTGATTGCAAATAAAGATATCGAGTGATTGCCATAGATATATACACACACACGCGCATACCCAGTGAAGACTTCTGCTGCTGCTTCTTCCCCTGATGTGCCATGGCATTTCGGTCTCGATCTTCGTTCGCTACCGACGGACTTCGACGCAGTTTTGTCTCCGCAAGAGGAACTGGTTTCTCGCCAGTTTCTGCTGTCACTTTATACAGGTTTCTGACCAACACTCGCAGACCTTCCACCAATCGCCGTGAAGTACGTCACCTACTTCACATGAAAAGTACATGCAAACCAATCGACTACTCCAAAACCGCAAATCACGACACCAACTCTTGCCATGTGGCCAATCAGCTACTACATACGTTGACTTTTACCACGCCCCCACTTCATGATGCAATCCCGACGGTCCCGCTGTCATGTTGAATAGCTTCTTGTCAAAGTAACAATGCCGGTAGGCGTGGTATCATCCTTAAAAAATCGTTGTATTGACAACAGGTTTACCAGGTTACCGGGTTCAAAAGTGCACACTGACCTTTATCTGACCTTCTCCATTGACGTCATGACACCCTCATTATATATCATATTAAAATATACATAAATTAATTCATAATTACACATTAATATTTCAGTTATTAATAAATCAACGCAGTCATTAAATTATAAAATTTGCATAAATTTGCATAAATTACCTTTTTGCAAAAAATTGCATAAATAACAATTTTTTGTACACCTGCATAAATTTGCTTATATGAATAAATTTGCATTAAATTTGCATAAATTGATCCAGACTACCCTGTATTCTACTATACAAGCATGTACAAATGAGACGGTTCTGGTCTTCCGATGGCTACCTAGGCCGAGGATTGGCATGGATTCCAAACCCAGCACTAGGAACTCCAACGAAAGCCGCCGGATGCTCAGTTCGTGACCTCTGATATCTCAGTTACTGGATTATAAATAGTTTATTCCCTAGCTTGTTAATTACATTTACAGATTTTTTTTTCGCTGGCGTTTTTGTGTGTTTATGTCTGTTTGTTTGTTTGTTTATGTATGATTACGATACCTCAAGAATGATGAAATGGATTTATTGGGTATTATTTAAGTAGTTAGTAGGTAAAGAGATCTTCATGACACCTCGAAATGGTACTGTAGTCGGAAAAAAACCGCTACATTTCATGATAGGACTATCAAAGTTTTGTGACGTATATAATTGTTAAAATTAAAAAAAAAACATAGGCAGATATCAACTTTAAACATCAAGATATTATTTGCAAAATGAATGAGAATAGCAATGAGATAAGAATTCCATTTGCCGACGCAGATGACGACACAGAGAACATCAGGGAGGATCTCAAGTAAAGTCTAACAAGTTCTACCAATCAAGGTGCTTGGTCACGAAAGGTTCAGAAAGAAGAACCTTGGAGGAGACTATACTTGTAAATGAGGCAAACAGGGAAGGCTGAGTGGAAGGGAACCAAGAGTAGTACAGGAGACTGAACACAAAAAGGAACCAGCTTCTCAGTTGAGTCAAGCAACGGTGGCTTGACAAACTGGTGACCACCGCTGAGACCGCTGCACGTACAGGCAATCAGGGCACTCTGTACAAAACCCTCAGAACACTCTCAGGGAAACAAGAAATACAGTACCTCTAAATCGATTTAAAGAAATTATGTTTACCGCGTTATGATATATTTTAAAGTTTTATTTTTGTACTATTGTACCTGATCGGAAAAGTTTTAATTTGTTACAATTTACAATTTTTAATAATTTAATAAGTTACCCCGTAGTAGTATCTAGAAGTATAAAAATGTATACGTACTGCTGTACGCGTGCTGTGGCACTTTTGTAAAAAAAATGTAAAACAAAGATGGTTCCGTCTTCTTAATTCAGGAAAGAACAATCTAAAGTTCGTGAAACACGCGCCTTTGTCAGGCGTAAATTTTTTCGTTACTTGTTTTACATTTAAAGTTGTTATGTTTAGCAAAATAGTTTTTATTTGTACGCGTTTGTGTGTTTGCCGTTTGTCAGATATATATCACGGCAAGTTGAAAAGGCTTGGTGGCATTTGGATGTATATTGACGAAATGTTTTTTTAAATATGTTTATGTATGTATTTAACCCTAAACAGTGCACCTGGGGTCCGCGCGGACCTCAGCACTATATATTCTGTAATATCTTTTCTGTTTCTAAAGATTTTTTTGTATACCAAGTTTTCAGAGAATGGTATATGGTATATCTATATTTTAATAGAATTAAATTTTAATAACTTTGGTGTAATTATGACGTCATATGACGTCAGAGCTAATGATATAGTCCGCCATATTGGATTTTGACCAACGACGTCATCAAATTAGTATATTCTATGCATATTAAATTATCTAACTTATATTTAATTATATAAGATGTTTTAATGTTGGAAAAGAAGTGTAATTTAATATAAAACTCAGAAAATCTATGTACAGATTAATCAGTCCGGGAAGGTGTTCTGTTGAGGGTTAAAAATGCACCAACCTAAAAAATGATCTATAGATTTAGCTGGTTTTATATTTTTTGTGTTTTTATATTCTTTCGTGATGAAAACCAAGTGTCTAGAAAGGCATTTCAATAATATGTGGCTTCTTATTATTGTGTTTATTTATGAACGTATCTGTTGTGGCTAATTTTTGTAAGAACAGCTTTAACCGTAATACATGGATGCTGAATGTCTAAGGAAAACCCCAAACCTCACTCCAATTTGATCACAATTTGTAGAAATCCGTGCACTACAAATGACAAGCAGAAACATTAGTTTTACGGCCTCATACCCCTGCTTAATAATAATATGTACTATTGCACATTAGGCCATGTTGATTTGATTTTATGGATGACATCCTCCGGGAGCCCCAAAACTGATGCGCGCGTGCGAATAAAAAAAAAAAGTTTTGCAAAAAAAAAGTTGTTTTCATTATGAAATCTACATGGTCATGAGGGTTGAACAAATGGGGCAGGATATGGTTTGGCGAATAATCTAATCTTCAAGTTCATTTCCTTACAATTTCGTCTTTTTTTCGTTTGATTTTGGCATTCTACGACATTCGTATAGTTTTTACTTATTTTTTTTTTAACTTACGGTATATTTTTGCTCATTTTGCAACTGTTTTGTACGATTTACAGTATGGTTGAAAACTTTTTTTTTTGGAAACGGCCGAAAATTCATGCGCGCGCGGATGTCATCCATATAATCAAATCAACATGGCCTTATAGAAAAAAAAAATTAAAAGGAATATATAAAACGCAATATTACATTTAGTACCGACTTTATTACAACGGTTAAAAAAGACAATTAAAGCTAAGTACTTATTACGATAACTTCCAAGTAGTTTGTAGTTCTTCCCATGTACAAGGAGCTACATATATCTACGACCGTTGCATGTAACAACATCTACTTACCAACCAAGCTGTACAATAATCCACCCAAGCTTATCAAATACACACATAAAACGTAGAACTGTATGGTGGTTTTCAGAACATTTTAAGGAACTTACGGGATATTAAAAAAACTGACACATGGATATAAACGGTTATTTTGGATCCGCCCATTTTGAAATCGGGAGGAAAATGGATACCATATGCTATTGCTACTAAGCAAAAGTCGGCATGTCTAATATAATAAATGCGTTTTTGCAAACTTTTTATATGCTTCTCTGAAATATTTCATGTTTTCTCTTTTTACGCAGCTCAGATGTGAAGGGCTTTTCTGATTTGGCCATGTTTACACAAGTGTCGTTTATCAAGGCGCCTTTCTTCAACTGAAAACTCTTCATTGCAATACCGGCTGGTTCATACACTTTAAAGCGGCCGTCCTGTATTTGTGTTCTTTCACGACTGTCAGATTCTATACACTTGTTTTGTAGCTGATGGTTTTTTTCCTTTAAAACTGCTACTTCCTTTCGCCAGTCAAAGGGAAGCTTTAAAAGTTTAGACCATAAAGTTTTGTTAAAATGATTAAACAACATGGTGTCCATATTACACAATTTGCGAATTTTTTTCGCCATGAAGTTAGTAACGTGGCGTATAGATTCGTCTCTTCGAGCGTTTAACTTTAAAAACGTGACGTCATCGATATCCCAGCAAAGCTCGTGTTTTAGCAAGATTAGTGATTCTTCGAAATAATCTGCTATCATGACAACAGAAAATATTTTTTCCAGCCTAGCAATGTAGGCCTTTACATTCTGTTCCTGTTTTGAGAACGACTCTTTTGCGTCTTTCCCCAAGTCATATAACATGGGGTTGCGGTAACGCATTGGGGATTTCCCCCCAAACTTGATAAATTGAGAAGGATTGTCGAGAAAGGTTTTAAAAGGCTCAGAAGAGTTTATCTTAAATTGCTTTTCAAATCGGAAGTAAGTAAATACGGATTCATACATGTAAACTGGATTTCTAACAATGGTGATGTAAACAGTGTCGTCTGGCATAAGATCCCGGATGTTTTTGTAGTCAAAGCGTGTGTGATGGCAGAGAATATTGTAGATGGTGTTTTTTGTTCCACCGCCCACAAAAGATCTATGAAAAGGCCTTGGCCAGCCTAATATATGCCCCTTAGATGGTAAGACAAAGGTTAGGTTTTTAGCACTTCCGAACCGCATAAGTATGTTCTGCACCGTAGAACTGCCCGTCTTGTGGGTCTTCAAGAAAAACAGGTTTGTTTTCTTAGTACATGTTTTAGATGATTTGATAAATGCATAGTGTCCTTGTCTTTTAAGTGTTCGATCCTGTTTACTGGATGTCATGTTGGTTAGGTGATTGGTGGACTCAGTGGCACAACAACTGTTTCCTGAATCCTCTGTTTTTTTCTTTGTTTGTTTGTTTGCTGAATTGTTTCCTGGTGCCCGTGTTCTCGAGACATGTGTTGCATCATCCAATCCTTTTACAGGTATCCTATATTTACAAAGGAAAATGTTTTGCGCTGTAAATAAGTTTGCAGACAATTTTTATTATCTTGCAAATTTCAATATCTATTATAAACAGCATAGTGTAATGCGTAGATATCCTTTTTGTCAAATACCTACATTTTACGTGGCAAATGACCATCCACTCTGTGAGTTTTTCTTATTCATCGTAAACTACTTAAAGGAGTACTAACCTCCAGAAGGAAGTGCTATTTTTCCGATACATCATGCTGCATTGAATACATAACTAGCCGACTTTTAACATAATTTCGCTTGTACGAGTTGCGCGGCGCATGTTTGTAAAGTGATATTGATATGATTTTCCCCCATGCTGAACCACAATTGATACATCCGGGAACTCTGGCTTACGAAATACTCATACACTTCAGGTCAACATAAACATTTTTTGGCGAAAATGGTAGGAGACAAGCACAGTAACAAGCAGATTATTGAGAAATTACTTGCTTTACTTTGCTTGACCTGTGGCTTGGATATTATAATGTCAGGATGTCGAATACAGTGCAGTGAGCGCCAGTTTCACGCTGCGTGTTTTGATTTTCTCAACTTATTTGCATGCAAGTATTACTTGAACAGATAATTAGATTACGCCACTTATGGAAAAGATAACTAGATTACGCCGTTTTTTCATCGTCAATATTTTATGGCATAAATGAGGGGCGATAAGGACACCTATACTAGAAAACTGACCTACCCAAGAACCATCTCCAGAGACACGGGATTTGATATACAAGACCTCAAATCAACCATGGCGGACAGATCCCTGTGGAGTACGGTGGTGCAGCAACTTACCCCGCCCGACAGGGACGACGGATGATGATGATGAAGGACACAAAGAAGGGCAATGGTTGGTAAGATACCAAAGAACACAAAACGGTACGAATTTTTCTTATCGCCCCCGAAATGAGGTCTGTAACGTAACTTTTGGTGCAAAATGGGCATTTAATTGTATTCTGTAAAATAATATGCATTTTTCACTTCCAAAAATAAATGCCTGTCGAAATATAGCACCTCCTTCTGGAAGTTAGTACTCCTTTTAAGCAATCAACGAACTAAAGATCCGACCAGAAATGCATTAAACAAAGCTAAAAGCCAGCTTACCCCAACTAACCAACTAAACAACCAAGTAATCATCCAAGCAACCTACCAAACAACGTATGTAACTTAAGTAACTAAAATAATGTTCGACCACCTTCAGAATTTGATTTGGAAATTGCTACCTGTGGCTCTGTCCTTTTGAATAGGAGTACCACGACGTTATACCTTATACGCCAAATGATGTTAATCATTCCGACTGACGAAATAATATTTTTTTTTATTGCTTATGGAACAAGAATTCTACAACCTCATGCCTACGCCAAATGATGATAACCCATTCAAATGATGATTTGGTTTGTGAATTATATAATTTATAATATTTTTCACCTAATGATAGCCTTTCTTAAAAAAAGGTTATTCTAGCACTTCCTCATAAATTATGCAAATAAGGTCGTTATTTTAATAAATCATTGATGTTTACCTTCACTTAACTTCCAAATGCGGCAAATAGGAAATTCCCAGCAATTACAACTATGAAATTATAACAATTCCCATTAATTAAGCAAATTAGGTCTTCTATATCCTTAGATGTTTTTCTCGTTCTTTATTACATGTCACAAGTGTTTCAAAGTCATATTATTGAACAAAGCAGATTAATAGAATCTCTTATTGATTGTGCTAAATAGCTCCTGATTTGCATAATTGTCATTTAATTATGTCAAGCATCACTTCAGCTACCTACATAAAAAAAAACACACACTACAATCCGTCAACCAGTTCTTGAGTTCTCCTTCTTCGAGGATTTTTAAACAAACCCTCCTGCAGTCTAGATCAAGATCCTAGGGGGCCAAAACCAATGTAACTCCTTCCCTAATTCAGGAGCTATCTACCAACTATAATTCTTGACCCTAGCATGGCCAAATTGTCAGATATCAAAACCGGAAGCTCTGCTGCAATTCCAACAAAAGCCTCCAATTATGCAAATGAGGTAATAATGTGAATACATTATGTTAATTGATGTCATATAAACTGAACCTCCAATTGAGGCAAGTATGAACTGCCTGACAGTTACCACTATAGAATTAGGATGATTTGACATTAATTATGCAATGAGGTACTTTTTACATCATCTATGTGTTTTAATGTACCACTGATTCCCAATCAAATAAATGCCAGAAGTGTTCCATAGGCCTATAATGGTATATTAATTATTTATATAGATTCCACGATAATTATGCAAATTAACTCCTGATTTGCATAATTTCCATTTAATCGTGTCAAGCATCACTTAAGCTACCTTTGTACCGAAAATTATGACAATCCTTTGCCGGTTCTTGAGGTATCCTCCCTCGAATATTTATTAAACAAGCTGTTCCGCAGTTCAGGAATAGGGAGCTAAGGAGCCCAAGCTAATGTCACTTTTTTCTAGCTATCTAAAATACGTGACATTAGCATGTCTAGATCTAGATATGAAAACCGGAAGTTCTGCATTAAAAGCTAGGATAGACGCAAGATACGAATTTTACGGAATACAAATTATCCATTACTAGAAACATACACATCTTACGGAATACATACAATCCATTACTCGGAATACATACGATCCTTACTAATTTGGTGACCTCAGCCCGGATCACGTGACCGGCGGCAGATTCAACATGACGGACTGTGCAAAGGGTGCGTCTTCTCATAATTATTTCTAAATAACTTGGTTTATACTCCAATAAAAAAATCCGAGCCGCTATCCGTAGAAAACACCGCCTGCACTCCAGGGCAAAACGGCTGAACACCGAGGACGCCTGGGCCACTTACAGAAGACAAAGAAATCTTGTGACCAATCTCACAAGAAGGGCGGAGACAGTATACATTGAGGATCTCGTGAGCGACGTGGAGACCGGCAACACCAGACGGTTCTTCACTTATGCCAAATCTGCACTAGGAAAGACCTCAACAGGCATCCCGGCCCTTCAAGTCGACTCGGTAATACTAGAAACCCCGGAAGCGAAGGCCAATGCTCTGAACGATTTCTTTATAAAAAAAACAGACCTTCCTGGCAGAAGCGATCCAATCCCGACGTTCCAACCTACCGCTGTTCCTGAATCTGTTCTAGACTCGCTTCAGTTGTCAGAGGAAGAGGTACGCCAACAACTGCGCACCCTGCAAGTCGGAAAGTCAGGTGGTCATGACAAGATCACTCCGAGGCTATTACGCCTAGTTTCCGACCCGATATCAGTTCCTCTAACTCGTCTGTACAATAAATCTCTCCTTCTTGGCCAAGTTCCTACAGAATGGAAAAAGGCTAACGTAACACCCATTCACAAAGCTGGTAACCGCCACCTCACCAACAACTACAGGCCCATATCCTTGCTTAGCACAGTCTCAAAAGTTCTAGAGACACTTGTTAACAAACGTTTAACGGCTCATGTCAACCGGATATTAACTGACAACCAAAGCGGGTTTCGACCACTTGACAATACAACCCCCCAGCTGACTCGACTGGTAGAGGAGTTGACTGATGCAATGGATAAAGGAGAAATAGTCGGCTGTGTATTTCTAGACCTTCGGAAAGCCTTTGATAAGGTTTGGCACGCAGGACTTCTGTCCAAACTAAAATCATATGGAATCAGTGGACTTATGCATGACTGGTTCTCCAGTTACCTCTCGGACAGAAAACAACGAGTGGTCATCCAGGGTGCAACGTCTACATGGAAGTCCCCACTAGCCGGAGTACCGCAAGGTTCCGTCCTTGGACCAACGCTTTTCATTCTTTACATTAATGACCTTCTGCTACGATCCTGGGGGCCCTCACCCCACCAGGATAAGGAACTGTGTAACCTTGTCGAGGTGTAGCAGCTTGTTCCGACTTGGTGTCCTGCCTGGGTCTGGTGCATGGGAGACCTGTAAAAGTCTGAGCATGAAAAGTCTGAGAGCTGATATTTGCTCAATTGTTCCTCTGCCGGGTCGGAACCCACACTGTTCCTCAGAAAGATTACTTTCTACTAGGGTTCTCAATCTGCGTTCTAAGATGCGCTCATACACCTTGCCTATGTGGCTCATTAGAGAAATGCCACGATAGTTTTTGCAATTTCTGCTGTCTCCTTTCCTTTTGTAAATGGGACAGATTGCTGAGAGGTTCCATTCTGAGGGCACTCGGCCATTATTCCAAGCTAAGTTCAGGATTTCTAAAAGATGGCTTTTCATGTTCTCACCACCAGCTTTTATTGTTTCTATACAGAGAAAGTCTGGGCCAGGTGCTCAAGACTTCCAATTAGAGAGATTTGCTTATGCTGATGATATTGCACAAACTGCACAATCCCTTGAGATCTTGGAGGATGTTATGACAAAATGGGATGATGGTCTAAATGAGAAAGGACTTAAACTTAGCTATGACAAGACAGAGTACATGGCTGTTGGCAAGGACCTGGTAACTCGTGACCTGGACGTTAATGGTCACGCCATCAAACCTGTTGATACGTTCACATATCTTGGAAGCACTGTTAATAACGCTGCCACCATTGATACAGAAATCAACAACAGAATAGCCAAATTTTCCAAAAACACTGGTGCGCTATACCCTCTGTTGAGAGATCGTAATATCCCAACAGAAGTGAGAGTCCACATTTACACTAGCATACTAAAGCCAATTTTGACATACGGCTGTGAAACATGGACGCTCACTGAAAGACGGAGAAGCATTCTCCAGGCAGCAGAAATGAGGGTATTACGGTTGATATATGGAGTCACAAAAAGAGACCACATAAGAAACACCACCATCAGAGCTTCCC